TAATGGGGATGGATTGGAAATACATGGAGGGGACCGTAGAATAGCATTACGCTCCTGGTAGATACTCGGGCGGGATACCAATAGGAACAGACGAGTTGGGTAGGTGTCCGAAGGTGATATGGGGGAGAATATGTAGGAAGGAGATGAGAGAATGTCGGCAATCCTGGATCCAAGTGAAGAGGACTGTAGAGAACAGATCAAAGTGGAGGCATGGTGTTGAAGCCCTATGTTTCACTAGGAATCCAAGTGAATAATAATAATAATATTTGAAATTATTCCCATTCCTCATCTGAGGAATAATAAAAAATAAGGCAAAAGTAGTTTATCGAAGAGACTCATTTCACTGCGGATTCATCTTTCGCTTTAGCTGTACAATCACATCTATATACACCATTATTTTGCCCAAGAATTGAAAATAAGTTCGTTGCCATGATCTTAGAAGTAGTTGGATAATTCCCTGTTGTATGCGGAGCTTTGGTATTTCAGGTTGAATAGCCAGAGATTCAGCAGTGCAAAGGAGATAAAATCGTATTTACTGTCTTTAGCTGGTTGATCTTCAATTTATAGATAACTTTGAAGGAGAATTTCATTGAGATCGAATGACAAGTGTCGACTCCTTCTCCTCACTAACCATTCGGTTCTCCATAAAATACACCACTAATTGAAGAAGCTGCCAAGGACAATAAATAGGCGTTTATTCTCTCTGCACTATTCCTATAGAGCAGCCTAAAGATGGGCATACAAAAGAGAATTATTCAACCACTTCTAATACCGTGACGATGACCCTGTTATTTTCAATCAGTATGATTTTGTTTTGTTAACTCTTCCGAACTCTTATGTAATATCACAAGGGGTCTGTCTCCATTGGGACCTCTCCTAGCGGCTATCTTCATGAAGAGGGACCACAGAAGGAAACAATCTCAAGTTTGTGTATGTATCAGCAATATATTGATGACACCTTCATTGTTTTTGATGAAAATTGTTCAGTGGGGGAGCTTCTTGGAAAATTTAATGGTTCCCATTCATCTATTTCCTTATTAGTTTGTTTATTAGATGTATCACAGAGCGAAACAGTATTATTTACTGGATGACAAGGTTTCGAACAAAATTTATTGTTCATAATCATTTCATCAATTGTAATCACACGACTGTGAAACTTGAGTTCTATAGTTTTCTTTGTTTTCTCCTATTTTGTCGTATGGGTAGTAGAATTTTCCAGATATCTGGGTGGAGAGAAGTTGAATCATTTCTACCCTACTACTACCTGTTGCCCCTACGACAAATGAGAGAAGACAAAGAAAACTATCAAACTGAAGTTTCGAAGTCGTGTGATTATAACTGACGATTTGATTATGAACAGTAATAAATTTTGTTCGAAACTGTGTCATCCACTATATAATACTGTTTCACTGATTGTGTGATACATCTAATAAACAAACTAATATGGAATTACTTACTACCACAGTGCCCAAATTTTTCACATATACTCATTCATCTATGCTTTTCACGATGGAAGGAGAGTCGAACTCCGCGTTTCACTTCTTAGATGTGATGCTCGATAGAAGAGCGGACGGCACATTAAAAAGGTCGATCTACCGAAAGCCAATATTAACAGGTCAGTACACTAACTTCAACAATTGGATATCTCCAGGCATTAGGTGAAATTTTATCCCTTCTCTATGCTCCAGAATTCGGAAAATTCGCTCCGTAGATATACGGTCTATATAGAATTCGAAAGCCTTCGTACAACTCTCTTACATAATGGATATTCTAGAAAGTTTATCGAAAAAACATCAAAAAAGAAGCCATTGCCAGCGAAATCATAGTGCCAAAGAAGACACTGTTTATGAGTTTGGCTTCCAAAGGTGATAGTATTTCTGAAGTAATTAAAAATCGTTCATCTAAAGGTATTAAACGACGTTCTTATGCAACTGACTTGTATTTAGTATTTACCAGACGAATATGATTCGACAATGCATCAAGGATAAACTGCCGCTTATTTCCACTTCTATGTGCATATACTCATTCACATGCCCATGTGGAGTTGATTACATTGGATGTTGTAAGCGTAATCTCCGTAAACACACGTAGCTGAACATTGCCAGGTTCGGTTAATGAAAGGTGAGCAAAGGGCGATAAATTCTTCAATCTGTGAACACCTTCTGTAGTCAGGTCATTCAGACCCTCACACGTGATTTATCCTTTAAAGTTATCTACAGGACCAAATCCAATCAATCCGAAAGCTTACATTTTCTCCACTTATGCATTGCCGAAGCTTTAGCTATACATGGACAAAAACCTGAATTATGTATTCGAAAAACATTTTCTCAAACCCGTTTCTTTAGCTTGGTCATAATAATGTTCTTTTATTTTATTCTATTTTACCACTTCGATGCATTCCACTTCACTTCACCTTCATCGTCCTATATTGTTATCATTATCGTACTCATAATTTTTTAGGCAACAATTGACCTACAATTTTAAAATATTTATACCAGTTCACTCAATTAATAATCTTTAAAAGTTTTGTAATTCATCCAATTCAACTCTACCCATCGGGTACATCATTTTAATTATCTTTATTCTTATTATTATATTGACTGAGCGATTTCTAGTGCCACTTAATGCCTTCTTTCTCTGTAATATGAATATGATCGTACAGTTTGGAAATGAAGCCGTTGAAAAGAGATATTTCTTCTCTGATGAAGATAATGTTTTCCCTTATGAATTATGACTATTCTCTTTAAGATATGACTGTTTTTTTTCCTTCACGTTCCCAGTGGAACATAGGGCCTCAAGCTAATGACTTGAAGTTTCTGTAGCAGTATTTATTTCTACAGGATGGGGTTGCTAGCCAGCCTCATGCCCAACCTTTCCTCTTTACCAGAATTATTTCTCGCTTAGCGAGGTAAAAGAATGCGTCTGTGGCAGGGGATTGAACCCTGGACCATGCGCATGGTAGGCGAGCGCTCTAACCGCTATGCCACCGACGCACATAAGATATGACTGTAAGCTATTGAAATTATTTAAAGGATTTGATATTTATGTCATGATTGCAGAATTATATTGGTGGGGCGATACGGTTCAGTTAGTGGTTCAGTTAAGCAGCCTATAGGTCCCGAGTTGGAGCCCCTTCCCAATGCTTCAGCCTCACACAGGACATGTGTAGTTCACAGCTTGGTGTTTGAAAAAACCCGGTCCCAGATAATTGAGTTCAAATGTAGACGATCGTAGATTTGTAGTATATTGAACAGCTTCCGCTTCATACTGAGGCAAATTCCTATTTTTTGGCGATTTTTTCCTAACTTTTTCTGAGTTTTTATTACTGGTTTTGGCTTCACGCCATATCAATATGTGGTGATGCCTTGCAAAATCTGAGTCAATCGAAGCTCATTAGAGGGTTGCTTAATATGTTATGTATATTATCTTTGAGCTGTGTGGATTTTTGGATTGAGTCATTTCTATCACTGCACTTTTCGTCTTAGGGATGCTCCTTGTTGTCATCACAATGTTTTTCACTAGCAACCCAACTTTGCTCGAAAATCGATATCATACAGTATTCTAGCAAAACTATGAAGACAGGTACTGTAAGTCAGTGGCACAGTGGTTAGGACTCTCGCCGACCATGCACATGGTCCGAGGTTCGATCCCCTGCTGACGCACACCTGATATCTATGGTCGGCCTGCAAAATTCGGGCTACCGATATCCATGCTGAAAATTCCATACTTGTACCAAAATACAGTGTGAAATCAAGCTGTAATCAAAAAAAAAATAAATAAATAAAAAGTCATACCTCTGTGAAACCAATCAGTATGTCGTGGTGAGATTTCGGAGTACTTCTGAATACAAATGCAACTGTAGTAAAGTGTTTTCCCTTAGGCAACTAACTAGTCAGCCAGTTAGCAGATGATTGGAGGCAGTCGGCAGGAAGCTCCACGTGACCTACATCTCGTTTTTGTTGGCACTCACCAGTCAGCGAGGTGTATCTACAACCTCGAAGGAATTCATATCGTTTCCGGGATTCGAACTCGTGTCACCCAGTGCCGCCTGCAGTTAGAGATGTTACCACTCAGCTATTCGAGCTGGTTCGCGATTGACCTTCTGTACGATTGTATTGGATACTTTTGGTTGGACACTAGTCAGTGGCTAGTTTGACAAGTCTAGCCTGTGTTTGTTGCAGACTGAATTTTATCAGTTACGTTTGCAATGTGCCCACCATTTTAGTGGCTTGCCATGATGGTGCACTTTGAATTGTTGATATTATATGGTTGGAGACAATCAGTAGGAAGTCTTCGACCTAGGTTTTGTGCCAGTTGACAACCACCAGTCAGCAAGGAGGCGTATCTGCAACCTTGAAGGAGTTCATACCTCCTCTGAGATTCAAACCAGTGTCACCCAGTGCCTCTTGCAACCAGAGACGTTAACATCGAGCTATTCGTGCTCGCGACTGACCTCCTGTAGGACTGCACTAGATGCTCTGACTGAACACTAGATAGCAAATAATTAGTGTCATGCGTCTAATCCTTGGTCTTAATAAAGACTGAATTCTAAGTTGCAGATACGCCTTGTTGATGAGTATTGATAGGCATGAAATCTAGGTCCGTGACTTCTTGTTGACTGCGTGCACCATGTTGACGAGCCATTTAGCAGCTTGATGTCCACATCGCAAACTTCATTGATAGAGTTCAGTCTGCACCAACTACCTAGTGTTCAATCAAAGTGAGGCATGTTGCCACCCTGTTCTAGAAAGTGAAGTTTATTGGTGCTGGTAAAACTGATCGTTCCTGAAGTACCCTGTGACAGTTCGTAGTTGTCGGTGGGGTCTAGTTATCGACATAACTGCAAAGTCTACTCCAGTCCATTTCACTGTAGCTCGTTGGGTCATTGTTATATGCAAGTTATGTTATAATCGAATATATTTTCCTATGGTTAGTTGAAAGGTATTCACTCAAATTCTGTCGATTGACTCTATCTCTCTTTGTCTGCCTCTTCCTTTTAGACGCTTATTTTATTGTTTCGACCATGGGATGTACACTTTCAGATAACACAAGCACAAAAAGCTAAGCGTATAGTTCGTGAAGCTGAACGTCGAGCTGCTGCCCTACGTCGGGCTGAAGCAGAACGCCTCATATTAGAGGCTAGAAAGCGTAGATACTTGGCTGCTGTTGAAGCCGCTGCCACAGCTCAAGCTGTAGGCATGAAAAAGCATTCTCTGGTTAATAATCCCACTTTAATGAATAACAATAAATCTGGAGTATATCAAACAACTGAATATCGTGTAGATCCCACGGGGGGTACTGTCGGAGCCGGTGGTGTGATTGTCGGTCGAAGAAATCCTGCACAACCAGGTCGATTCATCTTCATATTAATCAAACGAGAAATGGACGGCCTAATAAACATTTCCTTTTTCATCAGCATAATCGATCACAACCACCTGGTTTCGGAGGGGATAATTCTCGAACGAATGCATTTGGTGGTGTCGGCGGTGCTGGTCATAATCGTTCAGTTAGTAATCAGAACACTGGATCGGGTAGAATGGCTAGTCGTAAAAGAGCTCCTAGTCGTAGAGTTATAGTCTATAGGTAAGTTGTGTTCTATACAACCTTTTCATTCTCCTAGCTGTACTGTTTTTATATGTTGAGGTATTTTTGGTGTTATCGTGTGTAATGTGAGCTGGATCGATAGTGTAATTACTGTTATGGACATAAATTTGACCTAGTAGACTACCAGAGAATACTAACTTTAATGCACTGTCCTAATCGCACGTCAACAGCAACAATGACAAGTAACATGGCCTGCCCTCACAGAGAGAAGAGAAGAATGGACATTGGTTAAAGAGCTTTTACTGTCTCAAAACACCAATCAGAAAAAGGTTGACAGAGCTTGCTTGTATATATATATACGTTTAAAATGACCTTGAGAAGCACTAATATCATTAACGAATTAGTAACGCTTTATTAGGCCTTCATCTCATTTTCTCTCTTCCCGGACGATAATTGCGAGCATAGACAAGGTCGGCTCTCTGAAGATAAGCCACAGTACTATTCCGATAATTTGAAGGTGATGGAATTTTAGCTGTGGGTTTGGGAACAGTAGGAGCAGGGACTTTTGGTGTTGCTGCAGGTGTTTTTTGCGCTGGATAGTTTCGATAGTGGTGCTGCTTCCGGAGACGATTTTGAAGATGGTGATTTCTGAGGCTCTGGTGCCCTTTTAGCAGCTTTTTGGTGTGCAGTTGTGACGTTGGGTCGTAGGCTGGAACCACGTCTTGGATACTTGGAGAGAACTCGAAGAATCTCTTGCCTCAACTCTGTAGCATATACTGTCGAGGGGGAATTCTGAGAACTGTAGGCTTTATAACCAGTCCAAAACCAGTAAATTCAGGTTTGCATTATTTATAAAGCATGTACCGATAAATTGGATCTCACGGAACCCGACGTTACATTTTAATTGCCTTGTCAAAGGGGTTTTTCGACCACATGCACTTATTGTCATCCGGTCAGTCTTCTCCAGAGTGGGACATCTCATTTTTTCCATAACCTCCTCGATATTATCGTAATGTTGGATGTCGTGTCTGTCTGCAGGCGTACCGGCTGTGAATTGATTTCTACCTCAACACATTTACGTGGAGCGGGTGTGCTGATGTGGTAGGCAGCTGTGATGCTCATAGATTTTGGCATCGGTCGTCGATAGGATCGGTTTCTGGACTTTGGTTGGAGAATCTGCTTACAATATCCATCTCTGTGACCAATTGTGTGGCATCGTTGATACATATTGTGTTTCTATGGGCATGCTTTTACGTAGTGCCGAACCCCACAATGCCAGCTTGCTGAAGGCGGAGTCTTCTACTAAATAGGCGATGATTTTTACTGAGGATGAGGTGGTGTGGTCGATGTAGACGGTACTGGATGCACCGCATGTATTGCTGCTGTATTTTGGCTGCCAGACTGGACCAGAATAGCATCTTTAATGAATGTTGATTAGACGCTGGTAATTTTCCCCGACGTCTTTCAAAGTCATTCGTGAATCTTGTTCTAGATGATTTACTAGGCGTGTGAGTATGTCGGTGAATTTCGAGGACTGCAAACCGCAAATGAAAATCAACATTTTGAACTGGTTTTCTGTCAGCGATTTCAGTTTAAAACGTTCCCACATGTGATTGACTATGCCTAACTGAGTATGGATATCATCATTTTCGTTCAGAACTAGTTTCATGCAATGATATCGAATGTTGAATAAGCATCTGTGGTCACAAATTTGATTTCTAAGGTCTGAACAGTTTCATCGAATTATCAACCACTAGGCTTCTGTGAGAGAATTAAATTGCAATATTTGTCTAATTCGTCTCCTCCCAATTGACGAATTAGAAGCTGTACTTTCCAGGCATCATCTTTGTCCGTAAAGTCTACTCGAAATGGGTCTTCGTATCTGCGAAACCAGGTATCAAACATCACGTTCGCATCTGGGTCATAAACAAATTCTGGGATACTGCTGCCAATGTTATCGTTGGCTGTAGATGAATCGGCAGCTCGTGACATTTGTAGACCAGCAAGCATTTCTATTAATTTTAGCTCGTGCTCCATTAATTTCTCTAAATGCAGTGGGTTCATCTTGAGTGGAACACATCGCCAAAAACCACAAGCCTTCAATATCCTTCTAGACAACATCTTCAGTGCTAACTTCAATTCAGACTGAAGTGAACTTCATGTATTTCCATAGATAAAATATTTATCTCTCTTTGTGACACCTTCATTGTGATTGGTTTTTCCTGAAGATTTCCTTTCTATTATGAGGTGTTGATTTGCAGGGGTTTGATTGGTTACAGGTTTGATAACGAAGTGTATGACGTCATTTAGAGACATTCAAATGAACTGTTGTCAAGATTTGATAGAATAGTTCTAAAATATTTGGGCACCGAGTAAGAAATAGACATTTGTAAAAAAATTATATTTGTAAAATCTCAGCGAGATTGAAATGAAGAAGTTCGGACCAGATTGCCGAATTCAAGAGATGTTGGAATTACTCATTTCAATCATATCTGAGATTTTACAAATATAATTTTTACAAATGTCTACTTCTCACTCAGCGCCCAAATAGTTTAGAACTATTCTGTCAAATCTTAACGGCAGTTCATTTGAATTATTATGCAATTGAATTAAATTAACAAAGAAACTATGTAATTGGCACAATCATCGTGTTTCCACTCTCCGTTGTCTGCAACAAAATGCATATCCTAAATCCGTAGCTGTCCAGTCACCTGACAACTTCAATAGGTCGAATAAAGCATCTCAATATTCAGAAAGAAGACAAAGCGATAAGTTCCATAGGGTGTTTCAACTAAACTCTAATCCGAAACATCATAATTTTGAAAATACGTCTAATCATAATAAAATTCTAGATACTAGCAGTTTTGAACAGACATGAAGGTGTGATGTGATGTTAGCTGATGCATAGGAAATCCTGATTAATAAATAAAAATGGATATGTGTTACTAATTATTAATACTTGGTTAAAATTCCTGAATGTCTATATCTACTTATGGAGACATTAAGAAATGTTTTACAACTGTTTACCCTCCCGCCCACACACACACACACACATACACACTCTATTTAAAGTGTTTAACAAAGTTAGACCGATATTTGTTAGTCCGAGGTCAAATTTTGATCACAACTCATACAATTTTGTTTATTATACATGTTGATACCTGTCTCATGACTCATATTATTGGAGAAAGTTTTTGAAAATAAGAGATATCCCCCTTTTTATATATAGGCCTCTGTTATGTTGATTTCGATTAATTTCCTTGAAGAATTTCGGATCAGATTTCCGAATTCAAGAAATGTTGGAATTACTCATTACGATCTCGCTCAGATTTTACAAATATAATTTTATACAAATCTTTTAGAGACAGTTATCGAAAAACAGACAGGGAGTATTGAACAGCTAACAATATTTGAAGCAACTGAATTCTCTGTAACTTCATACCTTTAATCGCCTTTTATGAATTTGAATGAAGCAAGAACAACAGTGTGGTTTGTGTAGAATAAAATATCACCATCATTCGCATCGTTGGCTTCTCATCAGCTGCATACAGCCAGAAGACATTATTAAGTTCATGTACAGAAACAATTTTAGCATACGCACACAGAGAGTACATGTAAGTTGAACAAAACGTCAATATATGCATACAATGGGAATAATAATAATAATAATGCTCACTTTACCCAAACAGCGATAATAATCATATGGAATGGAATTTTTTGGCGTTATTTAAACAAATGAAAGAGAGGTGTAAAATATCAAGTTATCAGAACACTGGAAAGGGTTTCAGTCATTCGACAGTGACTGTTTCGACAAACTTTGCGAGAAGTGAACCACTCTGCCTATCGATAATTTTCAACTGTCTCATGATGTCCACCTCATGACGCGTATCGATGAGAGGTTCGCAATAGTACTACTGCAAACACCTGTTCCCCTGAGACGTAGGCTTTCTCTTACATGTTCAATAAATTGAATCTATGCGCTGATACCGCAGACACACACCTTAATTTATGTACATAGTTGGGGTTAACACGACAAGGGTATCTGTCGACGTTTAATTACACCAAACAGAATGTTGTCCGATAAACGTCAACCAACTAAGCTGTAAGATCCGAGATCCATCAAGAGAGGTACTTACCGTTATGCTGACTATTTCAGATACATTATGACCTTCGAAAGCGAGTTGAATGAGGACAGCCTTTCTTCTCACTGTGATTTGTTCGTCATTTGACCCTTCACATCTTCCGTACTTCTTACTCAATATCTGAGGATAACCGTTGGCATTCAACATCTTCTGGAGAACCAGACATTCCTCGTCTAATTTCTCGGTGGAGCTCATTCGTCTGACTCTATAAAAAAACAGAGTTCTGACCAACTCTCATTCATAGTTATTCGGATAAAAGCTATTAAATTGAAAGCATTGTCAATTCCAATGCTGGCTTTCAGTGAGTTGATCTCTGGAGACTACGATCTTCAAGGTGTGGCATCGTGATGTCAAGGTATTGAAACTTTCTGTTATCTCCATATTCCTTAGTAAATTCAATATATGTATATACCTCGTTGAATAATCCCAGTAGCCAGGTAGGTAGGTAGGTAGGTAGGTAGGTAGGTAGGTAGGTAGGTAGGTAGGTAGGTAGGTAGGTAGGCAGGTAGGCAGTTATACATTATTTATCAATTTCGCTTCATAAGTTGATCACGGATTGATATCAGTTAGAGAACCATTGAAAACTAGCCACAGGGAGTACTGGACAGCTGTTCTGTCAGCCTAGTTTCAGAATCATCGGCAGTAAGCACCCACTGCCAAGGTTCGAACCTAGAACCTTCCGGTTACCAGGATGAATGGTATACGAGCTTGCTAGCCTTGTAACCGGAAGGTCCTTGGTACGAACCCTAGTGAGTGGTACTGCCGATGATTCCCAAAAGAGTTGGATGAGACAGCTGTCCAGTACTCCCTGTGGCGGGTTTTCAATGGTTCTCTAACTGATATCAATCCGTGGTGAACTCGTATAAACATAACTAACCCTTGCAAACCAACCTGTAG